AACTCTAACACGATGACTTATAGACTCGGCTGCACTCCAAATGAGGTGGAGTATTACCAATCCTTCGTTGAATGCTAACCTCGTCTACTATGAGGGCTCGACAAACTAATTATCTATACCTGCAGGCGTGAATGCAGCGTCCCCAACAAAAGGACATCAGTACGAATAATGTATTGAATATGTAAGGCAGAACTGAAACACAACCATAAGTCAACATTAATTAAAGAGATATAAGAATCAACCTGAATCTCTATATTTGCTTACTTACTATACTCATATATATAATGCTTCTCTTTGAGACTATTATCCATATTGTATGATGCATGACTGCCCAACTGATCAGTGATAACTGCCCGATTAGCCGTTGTACGGTGGTAAATGTATGACTTCCCAATCGGTGGTAAATAATGATATATAACTGCTCAACCAGTTGTAACTGCCCGACCGGCTGTAGCTCGATGGTAAATGAATGACTGCCCAACCGGCCGTAGCTTGGTAATAAATGAATGACTGCCTAACCGGCCGTAGCGCAATTGTAAATGCATCATGAAAATGCATGTATTATTATATTCTGAACATTAACATCTTTATCATATACCTCAATAGAGACTTAGGAACATACATAGACATCACTTTTACATGAATGAATAACATAGACATCCTTAACTGCTAAGAGTAGAATCACTTATGGAACAACATTACGTTTACGTATCGTTACTTGGATCATGCCAAAAGAAGGAAGGATTGGCCTTAACATACCTTACTTGACGAATTTATCAAACACTTTTACCTGAGCTTGCGAAGAACAACTTTTGCTCCTTCTAAATCTTTGAACAAGAACTAAGCACTATGATCATGGGATATTTCATGTTGTTGGACATATGGAGTATCATGGATGTATGTTTTTGCTATGTTTCTAAAGTAAGCTCCCTACTAATAGAAGGAAAGATTTCAACCTTCTTTCTACATTTTAATTGCAAAAGAAGTATATCATGAAGTCTTAAAGGCTTGCATTGTCATGTGAAAACAAGACACACCAAGTGCTATGACTTATGTGCACTTTGGTGCCACCCTCGGCCAACTTTATGCCATGTGGCATCCTCTTAACCATCCTTATCCACTTAATTTAATAACCCTTTGGAGTGAATGAGTCATAGGAAGTGATACTAATATACCTACACGTATATGACACCTTTACCAAGTATCTTTCCCTCTTAAATGATGTATAACAATCTCTTATCTTTGAGGTTTTTGGGCCCTCACTTTTGGGGATGACTTAGCCAACATTTTTTTCTAAATATGCCACATAGTCTTCATGAACCAAGTGTCACCATTTAGATGTTTGAGTCATTTTCACTTGTTGCCACATGGGGGTGATGTTCCCACCTAACTTATCCACCAATTTCCTAAATGTGCCATCTTGNTCGCCGAGGTTGTTCCTTATGTTTGCACACGCACGTACCGCTCACCGCTAATAGCCACAGTCCCTAACCTGAAATACGCACAAAACACCACGAAGACAAACAATGGGAGTTGTCACCGCTACCACTGGTGAGGCCCCACCCGTAGCAAAGGAGCGCAAAAATGTTATAATAGAACCTTAAATTATTTTTTTGCGTAAATTAAATAATAAATAAATAAATAATAGTGAAAAGAAGAACCCAGTGGCACAGGTAACGAGAACGCGTCCAAAATATATAAAAAATAATAATAAAATAACAATACCCAGATGCCAAATTAGCTAGGATAATGCAAATATTTTCATCTATACATTCAAAACAAAGGAGAATGAATCTTATCTATATTATTATAAAAGCATTACCAAAATAGCCTTAAAATATTATTATAAAAGCATGAATCTTAATGTGGGATTACCAAAATAGCCTTAAAATATTAAATATAATAACTCTCAAGGAAAGGCCATAATCGGAATTTCAATATCGACCGTCTAATCCTATTAGCCATAGAATCCTATTCTTACATTAAAATTAAGTATGAATAATAAATAAATAAAAAGTGAATTATAAAGATTTAAAAAGAAGAAATACGGGGTTCTTGGATAATATCCTATTTGCCTAGGACACTACACGTTAAACATGATCCTAGAAACATGTTATTAAACTTAAATATTCCTATATACATAAATAGATCCACACGTCCTAACCTATTCTAGGAACACTGAAACTCAAAAATTTCTATATTTGACAACATTTAATCATATTGTCCGAATCATAAACTAATACCAATACCTCTTGGAATCCATTCCTATTACAAATTTAATAATTTGAAAACTTATTCGATTGTCTGAATCCATTAGGAATAAGGACTCAAACACTTCTATAAAAGAAGGCACTATTTTATATTCTCCATCATAAATTTTTTTAGAGGTATTACTCCATATGAAAATTTCGCAGCAAAAGGTATTATTTCTTCCTCTTCGCTTACTATTGGTTAGACCTCTAACTCTTTATTACTAGCTATTTATAACTAGCATTGTCAGTACAAGTTGCCACCGCTCAATGCTCATTAAGAAGGTTTTCCTTTTTAATTAAGTGGATCAATCGTATTAAATAATAAAATTATTTCATCTTTAGAGAAGATATATATTGTTTTGCAGCTTTTTCTTAGTTACTATTACAGGTGTTTTGAGAATGGCACTGGAATCAGATTTGGTGAAACAATTTGTACCTATAAATAATCTAAGAAAGTCCGATGTTGAATGGGTGATAAAGGTATTAGTAATTGAAAAAGGCCCAATAATAGAATATAAAAACGAAAGAGGTGAGGGTTCGCGGCTGCAGTTGATATTTGTGGACGAAGAGGTATTCGTTTGTATATTTATATTATATTTCTTACTTATTTTATTATTTTCTTATTAACATCAAATTATGTTCGAATAAATTTATAGGGAACAAAGATCCAGACGGTACTAAAACATACTCCTTAGAATTTTAATAAACGACATAGTTCCAATGCCACTCAAATTCACCTGTAAAATAACACAAGTACTTGTATCAAAATAAGACGCTGATAATGGATTACAAACAAAGATACATAAAACTAAATATTGTTCATATTAGAAGTCAAATTATAGTATTTTTAAGCTTAAACTCCCACGGCAAATACAAAACAAGAGATGTATTTTTATTTATTTTTGTTAGGAGTTCATCGTTCCATTGTTCAATCGTGCTCTATCTAATTTTAACCCCAATATTAATTAAATTATTAGTTTTTTTTTTGAAAACATCTTATTATGAGTTTAATTGACTGATTTTTATATCTTTGATATATTTCTTTAATGAAAAAAAAATACTTTGAATAAATAGTAATATTTTAAAATCTATCAAAGAATTTTAAATTCAACTAAGAGCCCGTTTGGACGTAAGATCTTTTTTTCATTTTTTTCGAATTTTTTTACTTTTTTTCAAAATCATTGTTTGGCCATTTTCAATTTAAGATGAATTTTGAAATTTTTCGAAAATATGAAAAACTTCAAAAAGTTGTTTTTCAAAATTTTCACTGATTACTCACAAAAATTCAAAAACAACCCGCAATTATATTCATGTCCAAACACAACTCTAATTTTCAGATATCATTTTCACTTGAATTTTTTTTCCCACTTTTTTGAGAATTTTACAATTTTCATGTCCAAATGCCCACTAAATATTCCGATATTTAGCTATAATTATGAAACTAGAAACCCTAAAACTAAAAAATGTGCTTAACTTTCCCTTCGCTGTGGCAATTCTAAAACGTGCGAATTTAATATATTTGTAAAAGGGATAACCTTTTATTTCTCATTAATTTATCGTTAAAATTTATTTTCAAACATTAATTTTTTAAGAATTTCTCAAAGCAGGCCAATGCATGTTAGATTAGGTTTGAAATGAAATATGTCGAAGTTTAATATTCCTTTGATTGGCTTATTTTCACAATTAAGTGCTCTTATGCCATGCATTGTCTCCAAATTCAGGATTTATAGTAAATTTATATTCAGATAAAAACAAAAAGGCCATAGAAAATTATTAGCAATGTATTATTTGTAGTGCTTGGTTAAAAAAAATTCTTAGAACATGTGTACACTTAAAACTTAATTGCTTTGAATAATTTATCAACAGTCGATACAATATACTTTTTCAAACAATTAAAATAACTGTTACAATTGTGCTAAAACATAGTGATGGTGCTAAAAAGGCTAGAAAAGAAAATTTACAACAATTTGACATGAAGCAATTATAGCTAAGCGTGAGTCAATCGAAATAGTGCTAGATTTTTTAATAATCTTTATTATTAATAAAAAATGTAAATTCTCCAAAATACATTATGACAACAACTATAATAACTAGCAAAAATGAATATGTCGGTTAATTAGATGAGATGTCGATTGTAAATTATTCGGTGAAAATAAAATCCTTCTTAGTTTTGATCCGTAAAAGATGATAGTAATACATACTAAAATATTTTAACACAAAATGACTTTTTTACCGCACATGTTTCTTGGCATGTTATTTATATACTTATAATCTATTTAAAGGCTAAAAGCTTTTTCTCATTCCTATAGTAAAAAACTGCAACAAAATACAGGTTCTTGTACTTCAATCAATAAATGAATGCACACTAAAGTTTCCTTACTCGCTTTGTTTATATAAATAATTAAAACGTAATATTGATAATAAAATATGCTCCTATATGGCATGAACTAGCTAAGAAAGTGATCTTTTATGAGATATAAATTACATGAAATTAACACTATTTATTATTAGTCGTATCTATGGTACTGTATTTACTTTATCGGTTTTTTTTCCATCTTTCTCTTTTTAGTTAGGTTGTTACGTGTGAAACACGTACATAGAAACTGATATACATGAAAAGAAGATAAGTGAATAACCAAGCATACCTATAAAGAATAATCCAAATAAAATTAAGATTTCGTATTTAAAGTTGATGTGTTCCTATCACCATTTTAAATTCATATATTATAATAACAATTGAATTTATAATCAAATTTTTATAGATATTCCCAAAAAAAGAGGCATAATTAGAAAGACAACTAGTTACATTCTCGCTGCTTCTTCTTCTCATCTTCCTCCGCCACGGTGAGCAGCCAATTAGATTATGCCCTTTTCTTATTCTTCAGATTTTACTGTGCTAAATTAGGCTCATTAATGGTTTGTTAATTTATGGTATTGTTTTATAGGTGCGTCTCTGTTTATCTTTTTGAAAAGTGACATACATATAATCTGTATATATGCATTTCGTTTTTTTTTGGGTATTCGATATATTGGCTTTTAACAGAATCAATTGAAGATGATAAAAGCTTAGAAGTTAAGAGATGATATTCAAGTTCCAAACCCACTGGGTGCAAACAATTTCTGAGGGCCATGGGACTGGGTAAAACCTGAATTAACCGTGGTGCACTTGCGGGAAACTCCTTGCCGAGGGCCTGTGCACCCCGGGATTAGTCAGGACTCTTAGAGACTCGGACACCCGGTGCAAATCAAAAAAAAAAAAAAAGTTAAGAGATGATATAGTTATGTTATATTTATTTATTATGTTTTCAGTACTTCCTATCATATGACTGTCTTCTTCCCCCCACCCCCTTTTATATGCTTTTATTTACTTAATTATGTTTTCATTATGTCCCATTATGTGATTCTTTTTGTTGGTCCACAAATGCATGTCTTAAAGCGTAGCAGCTAGAAAGATCCTTTTTTAATAATAGTAGAATCCCCGAGCAGAGGGCGATCCAGGATTTGAGTTTGTAGCATTGAATGTACTTTTAAAATTAAGGGTTCAGACATACTATTTGTTTCAATTTTAGTTTATTTTCCACATAAATTGATGTTCCGCATCAAAAGTACCGGGTTCAGGCGACAACACTCCATCTTGCCCTGTCCCCGAGGACCAGGGGCAGGCTAAAGGGAGGCAAGGGGGTTCAATTGAATCCCCTTCGAAGGAAAGTGATACTACGTAAATAGGGCAAAAACTAACTTTTTTTGGTTAGATATGAATTGTTGAATCTACTTGACATGAGGGATGTTTCTGCTGTAGTGGTAAAGGCGTTCAAAAATTGCTTTAGCTCACACGTTCAATTCTAGGTGTGACACTCTAGTATTTTTTTCGGATCTCCTTGTATGAATTCTGGCTCCGTGAACTCGATGAATAAGGACCAGACTCTCTACCCTTCTCCACTTGAATACCAAGCTTTTGTCTGCTGCAGGATTCGAACCCTGACGTGCGCCTAAAACAATTCACGTGTTGTGTTCTTGCCACTAGACCAAAGCCTTTGCGGCTAGCAAATACTCAGCAGCTAGAGAGATTATAATTTAATTTATTTAATTATGTGTTCAATGTTCTTTTTCTTGAGCGATACATGTGGATTCTCATACCACGTTAAATCTATTTGTATTACTACTCCATCGAAAAGTTTAAGCTATTAGAAAAGGCGTACTTTATTTATTTAATTATCTCTTTAACCAAAGTTATGATGGGTGGTTATTGTTCTTTAAAGTGATGATGTCCTCTTTATAGAGTATCAAGTGTTAAGACTTCAGAGAAAGCTGACTCTTTTTCCCTTCAACAATTGAACAATGGATTCAGCTGAATGTTATGGAACTTTTAACAAGTTATAGGTTTTTGTAAATATTGATGTTGTGTGAATGTAAAAATTCAATGTTACTAGAGGGCAACATTGACACAATGAAAAAGTTGCTCCTTTGGTTAGTTGCAGGTCATGTGTTCCAGGCGTGGAAGAATCATCTTAGCATAAATCCAAAGGGAAGGCTGCTTATATTATATGCCCGCTCTCCTCCTACCCTAAGGAGCATCTTCTGCACAGGGTAAGCCTTTTCTTTTTTTGGTAAAAAATATCTTTAGTTAACTCACATTGAGTATATTCATTTTCGTTTGCTTCTGATTGTTGTTTCAGCAGAGGTCTTGACATTGGTAATGGAGTTTAAGAAGCTTCAAGATAGGTAGTGGATAGGTAGTGAACTGATTTGTTTGTGGATGTGGGGAAAGGTTGGGGATAGGAGTGAAGTTGTTGCTCTGATCTGTTCGTTTTAAAAGCTGAATCCCATTAAAATGGGGCGACTGGGATTGAAGGGCTGTGATATAATGTATGACATATCCCGTTTACAGAGAAAGAGGGTGCACTATTGCAATAATGGTGCAGAGTTTGAGAATAGTGATGTTGTTCGTTTTAAAAAACAGATTAGAAAGACTAAGAATGTGGATGAAGACTATGTACAGTTTTTGATGCTTCTCTATAACTATGATAAAGATTCTCAGTCATACACAAATGGAGGTGGAAATGAAGGTTTCACTGTTCCTAGGGATAGGCTTAATCATGAAGATGACGAGGACGAGGATGAGGGAGAGTGTGAGGATGAGGATGAGAATGAGGACGAGGATGAGGATGACCCAGAATACATGAAGTTTTTGGCTAATGCTAAGCCAAATGGGAAATCGTATGTGGTTAAAATTGATAGAGAGGATGGGTTTCCTGTGTTCATAGAGTATGAGAAAGAGGATGGATCTGATGAAGAGTGCGAACTTTCAGGACAGAGAAAACAACAAGATGATGGGGATGCGAAGGATTTAGGTAATGTCAGTAGCAAAGATAAAGTAGAAAGTCAGCCATTTTCAAGAACTGTCCTGGAAAATGATAATGATGGATCAGCAGGAGATAGCGATGTGATATTTGAGCCTTTTGATTCTCAGAAAGAAAAGAGGCTTATGAACCAGAAGCTTAGCACGGGGGAAAATGGTGCATTCAAGAGGCGTCGGAAGGGTGAGACAAAGAATAAGTCAAATAAGAAGCGTAAGACAGAGAAAGGGAGAAAACCAGCTAATATCACTACCAAAGAAGAGGCATCTGATGTGGATGAAGACTATTCCTTACTTCTGGAGAAATTTATAAGCAAGAATTGGCGCTTGAAAACCTCATTTATTAGGAAATGTAAGGTAAATGGGAAAAATGATGCATCCAAGAAAAAGAAGAAAAAGAGGCTTACGAGCCAGAAAAATAGCATGAACCAAAATGATGCATCCAAGAGGCATGGAAAGGATGAGAAAAAGAAGAGGTCAAGTAAAGAGAAGACGACTCGAAAAGGGAGAAAATCAGCAAATGTCACTGTCAACGAAGAGGTAGCGGGGGCAAAATCAGCAATTGTCCCTGTCAAAGAAGAGGTAGCTAATGTAGATGAAGCTTCATTTAAAAGTGGTCATGATTTTGAAAGCAAAGCTGCTGAAGAAGATCTTGAAATACTTGTTAATGATAATGGTAAATTTGGGAAAGAAGGAAGCTCTAGTCTCATGCAAGCTTCTTCAACTAAACACTATGAAAGTGTATGATCCTCGTACTCTGTGTCTCCTCCCCTTTTTATTTTACCCTCCCCACACCTCCTTGCTTTCTTAGTTAATTTAAAGTTTCTGGAAAATATTCCGCTCTGATGCTTATATACTGATGATATAATGAATATTAAGGTTGAGGATACCTGCCCAACGGAAACTGTGCATTCTGATTTCTGGCGGAAAGTCAAGGCTCTTCTTGAGAAGCCTTACGATCAAAAGGAATATATAGGACTGTGGAAAGCTGTCAAAAGTAAAAAGTTTACTGAAAGGAATATGGACTTGCGTAATGGGGGAATATCTTACCCGACAAGGATAATGGGAAAATCATATTTGGACCACTATGAAGGTGAGATAAGCATCTTAAATTATTATTATTTTATTGCAGTGTTGTGATGCATTGCTTTGCATTTCAAAGTACTAGTAACATTTAGAGTGAATACCTTGAAACCCCCTAAAATATTACGTTTTTGTCAGTTACCTACTTAAATTATCACGTGTCTCCAAAACCCCCTTAACTATACTTTATATACTTTATATAGTAAAAAACCTCGTCAATTAGTGGTGCGTGTGGTACACCCTTCTATTTATTCAGCCTAATTTAAATATTAATTTAATTAAGAATTTTAGTTAATAATAAAAACAATTAAACGGGTAAATGTTTGGGGGTTGAAAAATCAAAGAAGGAGGATGAAGGGATAAGCACATGGTTATTTGTAAATAAAAAATAAAAAATCTCCTCCATAATGCCTACACCATGTCTCAATCATAATTTTCTCCATTGAACTCCGATTAAACATTGGATTTTCCATTAACCTTCATTTTCACTGGGAATCTTAATTTAATACAACGATTGGGATAAAAAAATTCGGGTTTGGTAAAAATTATGGGCTCTTGGTGGACTAAATAGTGTTGAAAGAAGAAGACATAAATGAAGAAGAAAGATAATTTTAGAAGAATCAAGAGAAGAATTTTTGTCAAATGAAACCCATAAGAAGAAAGGAAGAAAAAAGATTAAAAAAATGAAGAAGAAGGCTAGAATATAAAGAAAATAGAAAGAATAATTTTTTTAAAGAGGGTAATAGTAATTAACCATTAGACACAGCTAATTGGGGCCATTTTTATGTATAACTAGCTTTAGTGTACATGTGTTGCACGTGTTCTTTGCGTATATTAAAAAAAGTGAATAAAATTGAGAATACGAATAAATTATGTGCAATAGCATTGACGTCGAGATAAATACAATATTTATTTAAATTGAAAAATAGATGTTACATTGGCGAAATAGTTGAATGCAGAGTTATTGGGTATCTTCTGAACTTGCCTAAAAAATTCCCAACTCTAATTGTCTATTACATGTGTCTAACATGAATGATTTTTGTCTCTCTTAAGCTCATTTAACCTAGTGTGTTTGTACCTGAATGCTTANCCCCCCCCCCCCACACACACACACACACATGAAAGCTTCACTATAGTTACTATGTAAATGGAAGTGGAAGAAGATAAAAGATGGAGCAAACATACCAACTCTGACAATAGAGAGACCAAAGAAGAGAATGATGCGACAAAGATCAGAGCCTAAGCCAGTTTTATCAGGACAATTTACAGTAATCACACTTGGGTCTCCTTCTCTTTCTGATTGATTCACAAGCACTACATCATCATACAATATTCCCATCTATATTCTGTCGAGGAGGAGTTTCTTTGTTTTCTCCTCCTTTTTCACCAACTAAATAGCAATAAAGATTCAATATTTTTTTCAATGAATATGCTGCAGCCCCTTATTTCTGTAAGAGAAAAAGGAAATAAGAGAATCTTCTTCTTTCTTTGTTTTACCATATACCTCTGCTTGCTTAGTTTTGTTCCTTACAGATGTTTCTAATATTAGGATTTTCTTGGTGGATATTTGAGAAAATGATAAAAATGGTCTCTTGAGTTTGGAGGTAGTTTAAGATGGTCCATTAAGTATATTCTTAGCAATTTTGGTCCTTTAGAATTGTTGAGAATGAGCACCTTTGATTTGTGTTAAATATTTGACAGGCCCTGATTGTTAAATTTAACGAAGATTATAAAATAAAAATGTTAATGTGAACTCACATTTAAAGGTACAGTCACTAATGCGTGCATTAGGGTAAAATATTACATATACCCCTGGTGTGCGAATAGTCTTCGAACCCTGCATGAACACGGAATACTTTGTGCATCGGACTGCCCTTTACATCTGAAGTAACTTCTGTTATTTTTGGTGTCTGGTACTGTTTTTAAGTGCAAGATTATTTTTTGTTATTTTTAATGTTCGATGCAGTTTTTGATGTGTAATTTTGGGATTTGATAGTATATCCTAGTATTTCTGGTTAAATCTTTTTTATTTTATAATTTTCATTAAATTTAATAGATAGAAAAGGAATGCCCAGTGCACAAAGCATCTCCCCTTCACGTAAGAGAAAGATTGTACCCCAATGGGTGTGATGTAGACAGAGTTACTAAATGTTTGACATATACCAAAAAGGCTCAAGAGAATATTTAAGAGGTCATTTTGAACCTACTCCAGACATAAAGGACCATTTTTATCATTTTCTCATGGATATTTTGGTTTTCACTTTTCCTCTTTTCATTATATATATATTTTTTTGTTTATCTTTTTAGGCCTGGTAAGGAGGAGGATAGTTTTCACTGACCAAACATGTGGGGATGAAGAAAGGTACAAACAGGGAGAGCCGGCCGCGGGGGTGGGGTGGGGGGTGGGTATAGTGAAGGCTTTTATATATTTTTATATCTAAATTTATTAGCGAGAAATGGAAGGCTACTTCTAGATGAATTTAAGTTATACTAGCTTTAGTGTACGTGCGTTGCACGTATTTTTTGCGTATATTAAAAAAAGTGAATAAAATTGAGAATACGGATAAATTATGTGCAATAGCAATTGACGTCGAGATAAATACAATATTTATTTAAATTGAAAAATAAATGTTACATGGGCGAAATAGTTGAATGCAGAGTTATTGGGTATCTTCTGAACTTGCAAAGATTAAAAATTTAAGTAGGTTAATTATATAAATTCTGTATTTAATATATTTTTATAAAGATAATATGATATGTTATGTTTTGTATCTGACCTAATATCTCTTTATTGACGATGTTCTTGGAGTAAAAAATACTACTCCAAGTATTAAGTATTATATATACCATATAGTATGTATATTATCCTTAGTAAAGTGTTATAAACTATATGCTTTTTTGGATTTGGTTAAGGTTGTTCGAATGAGTGAATAAATTATGATAAAATTTCTTATTAATTAGTACTTTTATCTCCCACTTAAAGTTTGATTTTCCCTTCTCTGCTATATTTATTTTATTTTTATGCTTCTAATGATTTAGGGCATGTTTAATGAATATTATTTCCTTTTCTTCACCTGCTAGGCTCCTTAAAATTTTAGATTTTAATAAATTTTAGTGGCTTAGAATTGAAAATATTCTTTAGACATGCTCATCGATTATATTCAAGTCTATTCAAGTTATTTAAATATTTGCTCGCAAAATGTGACAAGTGGTACGTGATACCTATAAAAAGTGACAATTAGACCATATTAAATTTTATATGTCTAAACTAATTGCACGCGCTACAAAAAGTTATAAAATATAATTTAATACGTCTAAAATAAAGTTTATGAAAGATTATAACATATAGTAAAACACTAATGTTAATAAAGCTATCACAATTGGTCTCATATTTGCTGGAGTAATTCTTTCCCGAATTAATTTTATACTTGATGGACAACATCTCTTAAAGTTGATTAAAACTAATATCTAAACATTAAAAAAATAATTCAAGATATTCTTAAAAATATACTTCACAATTCTCAAGTGTTTAATTTTAAGACAAATGTTTTGAAGAAAAGCTTTTCCTAATGTTTTAAAAACTTAGAATCGTAATAGTCATACGATTTAAATAAGGAAAAAATTTATAGAAGTAAAATCTTAATTAATTTTAAATACCTAAGTATTAGGAGATTTTACATATTTCAAATAAGGAAGGATTTAATAAATAAAATTTAGTTAATTTTAAAGTTCTACATATTAGGAAAATAATATAAATATAATTACAATTTTGTCCAATGTGAAATTCATTTTTAAAAGGTAAAAAAGACGAACGACATTTCGCTAAGGGCCTTCGTGCTTTTAATATAGTATAGATTGGTAGTACTCCACTTGGCCCGTTTCCTTAGGAAAAAAAGGAAGATCTAGGATGCGCTTCAAGCTTTTGGTATAATTTTTTTACGTATCTCTAGTGTATAGATAATCAGTCATGAGCCTAGAAGGTTGTCCTAGTATGAATACCCTACTACACCTGTGTGCAAGGGTTGGAAAAAAAGGAGAAAGTTGCCGTTTAATTGTTGAACTATCCAAGAAAACAGCTAAAGAAGTGATACCTTTGGCTAAGTATCAAATTGTTGAAAAGGTAATATGCTTGAAAAAGTTGGACTTTAACCAATAGAAAACTCCCCAGTTTTCTCCTTCCTGAAGTACCTGGCCAGATTACAGATATTTTCCGAGTTTTCTATCAATTTCTAGAAATTCTTTCGAGATCTCTTGGTGTAATAATGTTGTAGCAGTAATCGAAGAATTATTACTGAGAGCCTCAACATCACAATTGTGAGGAATAGCCATTGTAGAACAATTCCTAGATATTTTCTGAGTTTTCCATCAATTTCTAGAAATTCTTTCGAGATCTCTTGGTGTAATAATGTTATAGCAGTAATCGAAGAATTATTCCTGAGAGCCTCAAACATCACAATTGTGAGGAATAGCCATTCTAGAACAATCATTTGGTTTGGTTCATTCTTTGACTGCTCTGGACTTCATTTGTTCCACCTTCCCTGTACGAGTAGTGAAGACGCCAATGTACATGCATATATGATCTCTAAGAATTATGTCATGATCTCATCTGGTTTTTGAACAATTTTCTGGCAATCCAAAAAATAATGTTTTTGAATCAATTTTCTATTCTGGAAGTCCTCCCAAATTACTGTCATCTAAAGAAGATTTCACCTCTAGCATATTGATTTTACACTCTATGGTAAGTGATTTTCTTTCCATTACAGCAATCTGTATCTCGGTTAACAGCAATAACTAAGCTTGGGATATTTGGAATATTTGGCATTTTTGGCATTTTGATTATTTAAACATATCCAGTGATAGAGGAGGCTTCTTTTCTCACTTTCTAAACATATCCAGTTCAAAAGTTAATTCCACCGGGGACCCCTTCACCTTAATCAAAATTTTCTTGGACACTTCTGCTTTGTATTCTCTGCAGTTGATACTGTAAACAGCATTTGATCTCTGCGTTTCTGTTAATCTTTATTTTAGTTTCACTTAATGACATTATGTAATTATTGTCCGCTTTAAACGTGCAGACCTTCATGAAAGACTTAAAGAAGTTGACGCCGACAACAGAAAAAAGTTATACATCTTGCGCGGCTTTTTCTTTTGGTTACAGGTGAGTTGCTCAAAAAGGTGAACTAACTGATCAATATAAAAAGAAATTATTTTATGGATATCAGTTTTAAGTACACGGCTTAACCGCATTTCACAGTCAAAATGCTAGTCCAATTAGATGTCTTGAGAAAGCAATTATTATCCTAATCCTTTTAGTAATAATAGATAACATAATAAATTCCTCTGACCTCATTAATAGTAATTATGTTTAGTATTCCATCAAGAGTTATTTCTCATGTGCTCAGGTAATGATCAGATCAATCAACATATCGACAAGTGACAATATAAATGAAGCACTCTATGGAGTACTTTGTAGCCAAAGCCAAGCTTCTTCGTCCTCGATTGTTTTCTGGATAATCAAATTTAGTAACTTGTTCCTTATAAAAAAAAATGAGTAACTTATTACGTAAGCAAATCATTTGGTGCTATTGTTCGATGAACTGAAGTTTACACAATATGCCTATATAAGACAGACCATCCTTGCTGTTTATCTCTTGTCTGACTTTGTTATTGGCCTATGTTTAAACTTTCAAGGGATTTGCAGAATCAAATGTTTGGAAGATCGATAACCTGATCCAATTGAAGCTAGCATTTTCTCTTTTTTGGTTTTTCATTAGGCTTAATTGAAGCTTTAAAAAAGCCTAAATTTCATATTCATATGCCGGTTGCTTGCAACTATTATAAAAGTTACTTGAACATTGATCTCATTCGACTATGAGAAGAAATTCCATGCTTGCATTGAAAAAGCATTTACATTAATACCATATCTGAGGCAATGGCTTTTGGGTTCTTACTATGTTCTGTTCATCACATTTTTGGTGTTCTACACAAATTTAATTTTACAATATAAGCTCCAAGTTTGTTCTTCTGTGGTTGCTAGAATCTCACACAGGAAGGAGCCTTCAGGCCTTGGACCAATCCGGAGTGGCTTTCATTGGTGGCTAAATCTAGCTAAAAGCCATGTGTTGTACTTATTCTGATTAATCAAGTCAGGACAATCTGGTGGAAAATCTTACTGAATTATGCCATGGTGAAGTCAGAACTTATACGGTCATTATCCGTTTTGTTATATTTTAGTAAGATATTGAAGTCCATGTATCATACAGGGGGAAAAAAGAGTGGATTATCCTGCTATTTTTGTCCTTTTTCTGGGGGCTAAGAACATTTTAGTACTCTTCTGGAAGATTTCCCACCCCTCGCAGCCTGGTATAATCCCCTGGAATTTTGTTATATTAAACTGGCTATTGTTGATTTACCTGTAGTTACTATTTAGAAAGGATGTAAAGGGATTTGAGGTCAATGTATGCGAAGAAATTGGGTGAAATCTTCATCTACTTATATCTGTTCTTCTTTTTTGGTCTGTTCTGTTGCCTTTCTTACTTTCTCTTGTTGTATAGCCCTCTGAAAAACAATATGAAAGGCGTAGGTGAAATAGATCTTCCTTTGCTCCTGTCTGAGGCATTAAGACTTGGGGCGCACCCGAGGGCGCCTTTGCCCAAAGAAATATCCATCTGATGTGTCCATGTAGATGTTGTGACTAAGTATTTTAGGACTATGCAGTTTTTGGAGCTTTTCCTTTATTTGGACCTATGTTGTGCCTGACTCTCCAAAACTGTTGCCGTACCCGTGTCGGATTCTCCAAAAATACACTACTTTTGGAGGATCCGACACACACCCAGGGACAGTTTTGGAGGGCCGAGCAACATAGACTTGGACCAGTCATTTTCCCATTTCCCTTGCCAGAAAGAAGGTAGAACTGGCAGTTTGCAGGGAGAAAGAGGAAGAAGGTAAAGGTTGCTTTTGTATATTGGAGTATAATTTTAGGAAAATTCTTGAAAAGGGAATGAGGTTCTAAAATAAAGAAAAAAGCTCACACTACAAACTTTTTGGAATTCTTATGTGGAATAGTTTACTAGCTGTATTGCTAAATGGAACAACAAAAAACTTGACACTTTATGCAAGTATCATAATGTGCAATTTCCCTATTAGAAATCTTAAACTGACTCATTCTCCAAACTATACTTTTGAGAGATATATATGTCTTTCAACTTTTCCTTCTATAGCATTTGAAGTTGCAGTCTGTTATTTTTTTGTTTTGGGAAAGAGGTTAAATATTGTTTTATATAACGATGATGTTCGAATCAACTTGTATGCACCTTAGTTAATATAGTAAGTACCTAATATAGTAAGTACCTACTACGTTCCATGAGCACATGTACCAAGTAACCTCCCACAAGCTTAGGCAGATGAAAGAAATCACCTCGCGTATTTTTTATCTTGCCGAGGCTTTTCTCAGACTCTTGGATGCACTGGCGTGAATACTGGGAGAAATTCAAAAATAGCCAGATTTACAAGTGGTCATTCAAAAATAGCCACAGTTTCAAAAGTCATCGAAATTTAGCCACTTTTCATGCAAAGATAAATCTGAACAAAAACACTATTCAAAATCCGGAAAATACTCCAACATAATATAGTGGAATTCCAGTATACTTTGCTGGTACTGGAGTTCCAGCAAAGTATACTGGAGTTTGGAGTTCCAGTATACTTTGCTGGAACTCCAGTACTTGCAAAGTATATTGGAACTCCAATATATTATACTGGAGCCATCAAAGTATATCGGTCCAGCATAATATGCTGGAAGTTCATACACAGGTGCACCGTACTCCAGTATATTATGCTAGACCGGTCTCTGTTGCAGCAAAATAATGGCTATTTTTCAATAACTTAACAAACGCTAGCTATTTTTGAATGGCCAGTCCGAAAACTGGCTAACCCGTGGTATTTTATCGTGAATACGAAAAGGTAAAGAAAGAAAGAAAAAGAAAAAGAAAATCCCATGTAACAATTGAGCAGGGGTGGACAAAAGAGTGGATGAGAGATTGGAACAAATGGCCAAAACATTGAAAGAAAACAAAGCAATGAAAAGGAAGTAACAAGAAAACAAAATTAGGAAAATGCTATGTATAGCTATTGCTTCCCACAAATGAGGGAGTGGTTCATATGACCCTTTTTATCATCTTATCTTTTCATAAATTCTTTCTCAACCTCATGCTCTACATTTAATGTTTATGTGGTCTGTATTAAGCTCTTGTGAAGTAGTAAATGTTTTATGGATTTCTTTGTTTCATCACTGTTTTCTTGTCTTTATGATAAACTTTATTTTTTTCGTATAATTCTATTTCAAACATTTATTTGTTAAAGTTATTTCATTAAGGTCCTTGTAGTAGAATTTCTTCGTGACGACAACAACAACAACCCAGTAAAATTTCACTACTGGGATTTGGGGAGGGTAGTGTATACACAGACCTTACCCTACCCCGAAGGAGTAGAGAGGCAGTTTCCGAAAGACCCTCGGCTCAAGAAGACAAAAAGACAAAAGGAGACAATATCAGTATCACCACAAAAATCATAGGAAAAATAGAAACAACATAAAATCCAGAAGAGATGCAAAGCAAAAGCGATAGAATTTCCTCATGATTCAGTTAAAAAAAATCAGTTTTTGAGGAGGGAGTAATGTGATGTTTCTTCAGTATAAGATGTACAAGAAATAAAAGCTCAAACAAATTACTAGCGCTTTGCAAAATTATGCACCCTATCTTCATTGGGTAAAAATTTAGTCGCACTTGATGTTTGCATTAAATTAAGTAATTTAACTTTACTACTGAATATATATCACTTAACATGTATGAAAATTACTGTCTTGCATTTATTTATCTGGTGAATAGTAAATTTTTACCATCCCCCTCTTTCCAAAAGATGGAGAGGGGGCGGAAGAGAGGAGACGTATGGTGTTTTGCCACAACCTCTAATGGTGGAGAGGATCTCATTTTGGATTATTCTCAAGTTGTGATTCTTATTGTAACACCACTGATATATATATATATATATATATATATATATATATATATATATATATAGATTATATATATATTATATATATATATATATATATATATTCTCAAAATAATAGTCGAAAAATGTATATTTTTTTTCGTTATATTTTTTGTACAGTACAAACCTCTCTATAACAGCCTCTTTGTTACAAATATTTTTGATATTATAGCGAAGTGCTGTTATAGAGAACATATATTATAACATAATATGAAAATTGGTTCCGGAAAAGTTTGGCTTTTATAGTGAAGTGCTGTTATATATGGATGCTGTTATAGAGAGGTCTGACTGTATGTATACGTATGTATATATATACACATTCTGTATGTTTAATACAAAAATTTTACAAATTATACACTTTTTCGGCTACTGAATGTAAATAAATTTTGGAGGGGGCTAAAAATGAAAAAAAAACTAAAATAGTAATTTAGATAGATACTCTTGTAGTTATGGTTATTAAATATCAATATTAAAAAGTGCACAAAAACCTTAAAGACATACTATAATATAGATGAAAGACTAAAGAGTTAAAATACATATAGAAATGGTAAGATTACAAGACTGTAATTTAAAAGAATTTTATGAGCATAATATGTTAGTAATCTATCCACTCTAACGTATAGTTGAAAAATGCAACCGCTTAAAAAGGAAAACATCATTACGAGATTATGTTACCTGTCACTGTAACTCTTTCATCCTTAACCAGAGGTATCGGGTTCGAGTCCCTAGGTATGAAATCGCCTTTGTTACAAAGCGTTTTACTCCCTAATGTAGGACTTTCCAAAGCGAATCCGAATTTAGTTGGACCCCAATATAGGTATTCGGACACCGGGTGGAAACAAAAAAAAGGTATAGTAATAATGTTATATTTATAAATCTTTTAAGCTTCTTTTTCCACATGATTTTTTTTTTTTTTTACTTTTATAAACTAACAATGTTCAAGGAAGAGTCAAAACCCAATTTTTGAGACAAAAATATGACTTTGGAAAATAAAGAAAATAAAAAAGAAAATTGGGCGTATCAAAATTCCCACAAAAATCTTAGCCACAAGATAACCATCCACGTATGCACTTATCTGCCATGTGGGACCCACATTGAAGCTTGAATGGTCTCATGCTGTTACTATAAGAGTTTGTATTGTTGCTTTGGACTTTTCATATTGGCCTCCTTTGCCAGTTATTTAGTTCATTTTCAGGTCCTGCAATTTCAGGTACCTGCTCTTCTTATGCATGTGTATAAATGTTTGTGTGTATATATATATATATATATATATATATATATTTATTTATTTATATGCTTGCAAGTTTTATGTTCTGTGTACTAACATCGATAAATGTTAAGTTGACCTGCAATAATAATTATTTCTTCGTACCATGCCTTGATATGATACCCTACAAAATAGAGTATATCCCGTTACATGGATAGTGTTAAAAATTCTTACTATCAATGCATATAACTTATATGTTACCGTATACATCGATGCCATCTTATTTTATATTAGTAATGTTTGCCTCGACATAGAGTTTAAGATGTTAATTTGATAGTATTATGTTATTGGTGTAATGGAAGAAATACTAAGTGGACGTTTGGATATAAGAATTGTAAAATTCCAAAATAGGGGGAAAAAGATTTTCAAGTGAAAATGGTATTTGAAATTTTTAGAGTTGTGATGAATATAATTGTGGGTTGTTTTTGAAGTTTTGTAAGTGATTTGAGTGAAAATTTTGAAAAACAGCTTTTTGGAGTTTTCCAAATTTTCGAAAATTTTCAAAATGCATCTTCAAGTGAAAATTGGAAATTTTATGAACAAACGCAGATTCAGAAAAAAAGTGAAATTTTTTTGGAAAAAAAGGGAAAAATTTCTTATGTCCAAACGGGCTTTCGAGTTGTGTTTGGACATGAATATAATTTTGGGTTGTTTTTGAAGTTGATTTGAGTGAAAATTTTGGAAAACAGATTTTTGGAGTTTTTTAAATTTTCGAAAATTTCCAAAATGCATCTTCAAGTGAAAATTCGAAATTTTACGAACAAACGCTGATTTCGGAAAAAAGTGAAAATTATTTTGGAAAAAAAGAAAAAATTTCTTATGTACAAACGGGCTCTAAATACTCCTAATAGTTACAAAGATTAGCTTGATCCAAAACGTGTTAAGCTACTAATTAATAATGAACCACAAAAAAGAAAAGAAAGGAGAGAAAAGAAAATTCTGAAGCACAACAATGGAAAATTGGTTATCTTGATTGTTGAACAAAAAATTAGAAGCAAAAAAGGAAAGGATTTGGTTTTTAAATTTGAAGAGAAGTAATAAATTTGAAGAGAAGTCTATGTTGCTCGGACTCTCCGAAAATATTGTCGGATACGTGTCGGATCCTTCAAAGTAGTGTATTTTTGAGGATTCGATACGGGTGCGGCAGCATTTTGGAAAGTGCGCGCAACATAGGTTGAGGTGTGCACATGTTGG